GTCTCTGTCTCTGTCTCTGTCTCTGTCTCTGTCTCTGTCTCTGTCTCTGTCTCTGTCTCTGTCTCTGTCTCTGTCTCTGTGCAACACTGTATTCTGTGACAACTGTAATGGGAAGAAGGAATAACCTTGAGGGACAGGAGGGAGAGCCGCAACCAAGACAGCAGCCAGATAAAAGAAACCTGAGTCCGGGCCAGAACTGTAACCTGAGAAAGTGACTCAGATGAGCCCCTCCCCAGTTCTCATGAAGATGAAGGGAGGGAAGGGGGAGGTGCATTCAGACTTGCAAGATTCGGCTGCCATAACCTTATAATAAAAGTAGGATTAACCTGCATGACTTTGGTTTCCTAGTCTGGTCTACTTTGGAGGGCTGACAGCAACCTAGCCTAACCCAATGCCTCTAACTGGGATGGGTTGAACAGCTCATTAGGTGGGCTAGGAACTCTGGGACTTGTAGTTCAACACATCTGGTGAGCACCAGGCCAAGGAAAGCTGGTCTGAGGTGTCCGTACAAGAGATCACTCATTGCAGCACCTTCTGCTATCTTATTTGATCGGGACGCATCCCAACCTGTGTGTTGAGCAGTGGAGAAATTTCAGAAAAATGGATGAAGGGGCTTGAGCAGCTTCTAATGGGAAAATATTGTAGCATCTTAGATACTTCTTGGAAGGAGGACAAAAGGAGATGTTGTACGGGGATATAAAATCTTACACACTTTGGAAAATGTGGGCAGAGAGCCCGTTTTCAAGTCTCTGTCTCATTTGCCACTTGGAGGCATTCATTAAAACTCTAAGGAGAGATTCCAGACAGATAAATGGGAGGACAACTCAGAGTTAAGTTATGGAGTCTGCTACCATTAAATGTGGTGATAGCCTGGGGTGGTGTTGTCCGTAGCTATTAGTCTGGATCAGGGCTGCATATTACCTACTAAATCACAGGCCCACCCACGAAGAGCCAGATGGTAGGGAGTCAGGATGCCTTTCACCTGCCATCCCGTGCTGGTCAGATTCTTTTAATCCATCTGGCAGTGCCCCTGGGCCAGAGGTGTCCAAAAGGGAGTAAAACGTGCCAAGTGGCAGCTGTGGCCATGCCGCCAGAACTCTGCCCCCTTTTAGTACTTTGAAAACCAGAAGAGTGTGAGCATATGAATCAGGCCAGAAGCTTACCTGGTTCCACGCTGATCGTGAACTGGTCAAGAGAAGATCAGAACCAAGGGATGTATATGGTGGCATCAGGGGCTGGCAGGCTGCTTTGATATGGACACCGTGAGTAGCACCACTGTTTCTCCATGAATTTTGTAAACCTCGTTGGGTAATTGACCATCATTACAGATCATGGTAGCAAATTCTACAGGTGAGCCATAAACAACGTGGCCCTAAGAAGTAAAAAGTAGTAGAGGTTAGTTTGCTAGCATGGAATTTATTATAGTTTTGCATGAAAACATGAGGACATCCCAACGACTGTGTGACTTTTCTCTTTAAGACCTAGAGGACTCCCTGCACCACTTACACATGATCCACAGGACTGTCCAGACACTGATCCAGGACCAGGGTGAGCTGGCGTCAACGCTGAAAGATCAGAAGCAAAGCCTCACCTCTCTTCTGGAAGAGCCACGCTGCACTTACTGCACGGGGGCCCTAAGCAGAGCTCAAAATTTGAAGTTGGGGACTGACTTCCAAAAAGTAAGCTAATCCAGACCCTGGTTGCACCAGAATGGAAATGGTGCATCAGTCCAAAACCTCCTTGGAAAAATTAACCTGTTAAGGAGCGTGCTTCTGATATGAAACGGGCCCTGTTGTACCACTTCCTCGCCAACCTGGTGCCTCCTGAGCCTGTGGAAGCCCCATGAAGCTCCAGGGAGAGAGTCACTTGTCCAAATTGCAAAAAGTCATCAGATGCAGTGCAAGATGGCATGCTTGCTCCATGCTCCTAGTCCCAAATTTTGGTCCTGTTTCTTTTTTCTTGGACTACCTCTGCATCAAGCACTATGGTGTCCTACTCTTATTGGGAAGTGCAATTCCTGCCTCCCCACTTTTTCCAGGGTAGAAAATGGTAGAAGACTTCTGCCTAACAGCAGCACCTCCATAACAAGGTCCATGTTGTCACCTCCAACAATAACTGTTCCCTGGATGCAACTTGGATAAGAGCTCCCATCCCACAACTGTCAGTAGCAGAGGATATCTAAACTACTATTCTGTAAAACTAGGGCACAATTAGACAAGGTGGTTGGTGATTTTTTGAATGTGTGTTAAGGAGAAAGTGAGTCTCCAGTTAACACTGGGCAGTGCATTGTGGGTATGGTGGAGGAAGATGGTGGTTAACCCTTTTCCATCTTTTGAAATCCACTTGGTATGTGTCTCCTCATGGACCAAATAACTGTGCCGGGTGTGGATATGTAGAGGGTTAACATATCTGGGCTGCAAAGCTGCAGGTGACCACTAGAGGTCAGCAAAGAGACACAGAAAAACTCTATTTGCTGCCACCTAGTGGGCATCCAGAGTATTGTGCCAGATATGGCAACTCTAGATTTAATAGTGTGATTTACGCAGCTACATTTATCATTTAAAAAGAAACCTAAGACATTTTTGCTAAGCTTTATCTTAGGACCACCTTTGTTGTAACCATGAATGAAGCTCTGATTGCTTTCCAGGTCTATGCCATCTTATATATTGTTTGCTTTGATCTTGGGGCCCAGGGATTAGTCTTTTACAAATAATTTCTTTCTTCAGGTGCCTTCTGTTGAAAAAGTTCTGAAAAATTTGCATGGGCTACCTCAGACTAATTTCTCGGAAATGATTCAAAAAGTAAGTGAAGAAAAATTCTCAGGGGGATCTCCTTTGAGCAAAATGCACATTTTTCCTCTGATTTGGTTATTAAATATTTTTTTTACACTTCTAGGCCAATAACAGTTTCAACACAATTCCAGAGTTTACAGTAATGAAAATGGATGAAGTTGTTCAAGGTGAGTGAAGCCTTTCCAGGAAAATATGAGCTGCATTCACACAAGGGCATCCAGAAGGTATCAAAAAAGTCAAGATGGTGGCCAGGAGCACAGAATTTGAAGCCTTTCCCCTTTCTTCTGTACACTGCACTGCCTGTAGAAAGGGGCAGGGCTATTTTCTGCAGTTGTATTTGTTAATCTAGATTTAGGGTTTGTAATGTGAACAGTTAGTCCTTGTTTAGTGACCACAACTGGGACCAGCAACTCAGTCATTAAGCGAAGCGGTCGCTAAGTGAAACCACAACTGTGCTTACAATCTTCCCTCAACTTTCCTTTGCTTTACAGACCTGTAAAGGTTGTAAATACTAGGATTGGTTGCAAAATTACTTTCTCATCACTATCATAACTGTGAACAGTCGCTGTACAAAGCAGTTGCTAAAAGAGGATTGCCTGTATTCTTACATCTGATAGAGTACTATTTAGATCAGACAATTAGAGTAAGAACCAGCATGGGACCAAAATCTCATTTCAGTGCTAGTGCCCACACAATGCAGGCAATACAATAGTGTAGCATAGTAGCCAGTGGAGATCCAGATCCAAGTCCATCCTCAACTACAGAAGCCCACTTGGTGACTTTGGGCCAGACTTAATTTTCCAGCCTACCCATCTCACAGGATTATTGTCCCGGGTTTAAAGGAAGGAATGGAGTGCTGAGTATGCTGCCTTGAGCTTCTGAGGAAGGATTGGATTTAAATATCTAGCACGTAAATAAATCAGATAGGAAGACTCAACAATGTACCACCATAAGACCCCCGCATGGTCACTCACGCCCTGGTCACCTCTGGGTTGGACTACTGTAATGCGCTCTACATGGGGCTACCC